AAAACTCATTCTCCAAAACGTAGCAGCTTAAAACAGGGCATATGTATTATCTTACTGTTCTGTAGTTCAGAAGTCTGGCTTGACTCATGGCTCATTTCTCTGCTCTGGGTTTCACAAGGTACTGTCAGCTAGCCTCTTATTGGGAGGCTCTGGGGGAGAACCTGCTTCCAGGCTCTCCAGGTTGTGGGCAAAATCTAGTTCCTTGAAGCTGTAGGAGAGGTTGCCTTGCTGGGGGCGGCCTTTAGCTCCCTCAGCCTTGCTCGTGCGCCCCTAACTCTGAGCCCCAGGAAAGGCAAGTCAAGTCCTTCTCAAACTCGGAATCTCGAAGACTTTCTATCTGCCACGTCTCTTCTCTTTCCAGCTGGAGAAAGTTCTCTGCTTTGGGAGCTCACGGGTCATTAGATTGGGCTCACCCGGATAATCCAGGAAGGTTGCCAATGTGCAAAATCCCCACGTAAAGGAACATTCACAGTGGATATCTTTGTTGTCGGTGTTAGCTGCTGTGGAATTGTCTCGTCTCACGGCGACCGCGTGCACAACAGAATGGAACGCTGCCCAGTCCTGGGCCACCACAGGATTGCACTGTTGTGATCCACAGAGTTCTCATTAGCTGATTTTCGGAAGCAGATCACCAGGCCTTTCTCCTTAGTCTGTCTTAGTCTGGAAGCTCCGCTGAAACCTGTTCAGCAACATAGCAACACGCGAGCCTCCACTGGCAGACGAGTGGTGGCTGCAGGTGAAGTGCATCGGCTGGGAATCCACCGGGTCTCCTGCATGGAAGGTGAGAACTCTACCACCGAACCACCACTGCCCAGGCCCATTATTCTGCTTACCACAATGAATCGATAATGACTCAGTGGCATTTCATTGTCCTTTTCTCCTTTCTAAAAAGGTCTGCTGCAGGACACCGACACTTTTTTGAGCACCTGTCCAAATCCACCTCACAACGATCCCGCTTTCTTCGAGAACCAGCAGCCATGTTTGTACCATGTGACCTTGCTTCCCAGCCACTTGATTGGACCAGCAGTGGGTCACTGAACCAATCAGATTCGCTGTCTTGGGATTGTGGCTCTTTTTTCATTCTCTGTGTACCGCGCGGTGGTTAAGAGCTCCGCTGCTAACCAAAATGTTAGGTTTTCGAATCTAGCAGCTGCTCCTTGGAAACTGTATGGGGCAGCTCTACTCTGTCCTATAGGGTCTCTGTGAGTCGGAATCGACTCCACAGCAATGAGTTCGGTTGTTTTTTTTTTTGTGGCTGTTGTTGGAGGGTTTTGAACCCACCACAGAGTCCTGGCTGATGTGTTGACCCCGAAGCCGTCTTCACTGCGCATGTTCATATGTAATATACAGACAGAAATGATAAACTATGTGGTAGTATTCATACCCTCATTTTTCCTGGCAGAATAAGCAAACTTCTGGTTGCCAAATTCAACATTATTCAATTATTTCCCATATTATTATATATTTTGGAATAATCAGTGGGGAGGGGCCATACTTGCTGGAGAGATTATAAATGATGGTGGCTCAGGGAAGGAAAAAGTGCTGACAGAAAACTGCTTGCACAGTTGGATTGTCCAGGAGGAGGCATTCTGATGGAGAAGTTCAGGGTATGGTGTGGAGAGAAAGAGGGTTGTCCTAGGCTCCTACAGGCTGCGGTAACAAAACACCACAAAGTGAGTGGCTTTAGAGAATAGGAATTTATTGTCTCACAGTTCTGGAGGTTCGAAGTGCAAATCAGAGTGTCGGCCAGGAGGCCTCCTCCTGAGGGCTTTGAGAGAGTTTGTTCCATACCCCTCTCCTGGCTTCTGGCAGCTCCTGACAATCCTTTGTGTCCTTGGCTTACAGCTAGGTCGCCCTCTGTGGCCGCATGGCTGTTCTTCCTCTGTCTCCTTGCCTACCTCAGAGTCTGTAACCTGTAATACTGTCTATTTTAATACTCACAGCATGTGTCAAGGCTTCCTCATCCTTAGGGATAAAACCAAAAAGGCAACTCATGGCTTACAAAAGCTCTGGGGTTATTGGTATCAGGTACTGCTTGATCCAGGAGCTCAAATGCTGTATCAGGACCAAGTGGTTTTTTTCCACCCCCAATTTCACTTCCTTTATATTAAGTTCATTCTCAGACAAGCTCTGTTATAATTGCCCCCTGCCCCCACCTCATTTTTGGTAGCTTAGTCGAAGTAGGGAATTTTTGTTTGGTTCACATTCATTAAATAATTGAATTTTTTTTTTTAATTTCTCATTCAAAAATTTATACACATATTTTGTGACATCGGTTGCAATGCCCACAATGTTACAGCACATCCCCCTTTCCTCCCCAGGTTCCCTGTGTCTGCTGGACCAGTTTCTGTCCTTTCCTGCCTTCTCATCCCCAGGTTCCCTGTGTCTGCTGGACCAGTGTCTGTCCTTTCCTGCCTTCTCATCCTGTTTTGGGCAGGAGCTGCCCATTTGATCTCATATATCTGATTGACCAAGAAGCACGTTCCTCACATGTATTTTTTTTGTTTTATAGTCCTGTCTAATCTTTGAAGAGTAGGCTTCGGGAATGGTTTCAGTTCTGGGTTAACAGAGCATCTGGGGGCCATAGTTTTGGGAGTGATTTTGATTTAAATTGTGAAAAACATATCAAAGTCATAAATTAAGAGGAACCAAGGGGGCCGTAGCCCCTCCAAGTCCAAGTCACTGTCTTCTCCCTCCTGGTTTGTCTGCTTGCTCTGCTTCCCCTACTCCACTCCTAACAACCAAGTACCGATTCACACCCAAAACCAAATTCAAAGCTCCCTGTTTTTTCTGTTGAGACACTTCTTCCCAAATAGATTTGTTATGGCTGCCTTCTTCTTGTCACTCAGATCATAGTCCAGAACCCACCTCCTCAGAAAGGCCCTCTATCTTAAACCACAACTGTGAGTATAACAGAGCGCTGGTGGTGCAGTGGTTAAGCATTCGGCTGCTAACCAAAAGGTTTGCAGTTTGAACCCATCAGCTCCTCCTTGGAAAACCTATGGGCTGTTTGTTGTGCTCTGTCCTGTAGGGTCGCTATGAGTCGGAATCACCTCGATGGCAGTGGTTTGGTTTGGTTTTGGTGATTATAACAGCTTCCAGTGAGTTCTGTGAGTCCTTCTAGTGAATCATGGAACCTGAGGGTGGTTTTGGGAACCCCTGGATATTCTAGGAGGTGTCAGAAGTGAGGGTGGTCTTGGGGACTGTTCACTCTAACTTTGTGGTTGGCCTAAACTCTTGACACCTTCTGGCCCATCTGTCTTCTTCTTCTCTATCATCATGCCCCATATTTTCTTCTTCTTGCTAATCTGTGTACCCCAGTGCCTGACCTGCAGGTGTTGTCATCCTGCCACCCCTGTCACTTTATGTTGCTTTATTCTGATGCATTATGTACATTACTTTATTTCTTCTTTATTCACACTGAAGGCTGGATGCAGACTCTTAAAAAGGCTACTTTCTGCAGACGTACTGCATCCAGCTCCTCTGTTGCTTAGCTAAATTCATTAAAATTCATTAAAAGAGCTTTTTTTTTCATGTGAAAATCAGGTAGATTTTAAAAATAGATTTTATTTTTTAGAGCACTTTTAGGTTTATAGAAAGTACAGAGAGTTCCCATATCCCCCTGTTATGGCTTGAATTGTGTCCCTCCAAAAGATATATTGGACCCACAAATGTGACGTTGTTTGGGAAGAGGGTCTGTGCAGATGTTATCGGTTAACGTGCGGTCATACAGCAGTAGGGGGTCTCCATCCCGTCTGAGCGGCTCGTTATAAAAGGGGAGAACAGACACAGATGGATAGAGGGAAGCCGGCCGTGTGAGGACGGAGGCACAGATGGAGGTGTGCTGCAGCCGCAAGGCAAGGGACACGTGCTGCCGGGAGAGGCAAGGAAGCACTCTCCTGTAGAGCTTTCAGAGAGAACACGGCCCTGCACACACCTTGATTCTGGCCTCGTGACCTCCAGAAATGTGAGAGAATAAACTTCCGTTCCCGTCAGCTGCCTGCTTTGAGGTGCTGTGTTCTGGCGGCCCCAGGAGACTAATAGCCCCCTTTGCTCCTGTACACCGTTTTTCCTCCACGTATATTTTCTTTCCTTTTTTTTTTTTATTATTGTACTTTACATGAAGGTTTACAGAGCAAATTAGTTTCTCATTAAACAGTTGATACACATAATGTTTTGTGACATTGGTTGCCAACCCCACAACATGTTAACACTCTCCCCTTCTTGACCTTGGGTTCCCCGTTACCAGCTTTCCTGTCCCCTCCTGCCTTCTTGTCCTTGCCCCTGGGCTGGTGTCCCCATTTAGTCTCGCTTTGTTTTCTGGGCCTGTTTAATCTTTGGCTGAAGGGTGAACGTCAGGAGTGATTTCAGCACTGAGTTAAAAGGGTGTCCGGGAGTTTCTCCTCTTTTTAACATCTCGTTACAATTGATGAACCAACATGGATAAATTATTAATTTAACTCCATAGTTTACACTGGGGTTCAATCTTTGTGTTGTAAATGAGCTATTTTTTCAGTAAATAGAGCCATGGGAGGGAAAGCTAAAGCACAGATCAAGAAGGAATAAGTGGTATACGTATCTGACTTAGGGAAGAGGGGGCCAGATAGGATCCCCCTGTCCCCGCCCCTTCACTCCAGGCCCCTCCCCAGACCAGGCCCCGCCCACACTTCGCGGCCTCGCCCTGTCGCGTCCAAGTCTCGCCCGTTCTTTCCGTCCGTCTAGGCCCCGCCCCTTCACTCCAGGCCTTGGCCCCGCCCCCGCCCGCGGCATTCCCGCAGGGAGTTTGCGGGCGGTGTTCGCGCATGCGCAAAGCGGTGGCCGGTTGCCGAGGCAGCGTCGCCGGGAGAGGAGGAGGGCGGCTGCCGGGCAGGCGTGGAGCCAGGACCGCGGCGGCTGAGGCGGCGACGCGCGACCGAGAACTCGCGGCCGGCCGAGCCGCGGGGCGGGCAGCGTGAGCGGCGGGGAGCGCCGCCCGGCCTGGGGATGCGGGACCGGCTGCCGGACCTGACGGCGGTGAGAGGGGCGGCGGCGGGTAGCGGTTTGGGGCCAGGCGGGGGCTCCGGGGTGGGAGAAGGGATCCCAGTACCGCGACCCTTCTTCCCGCCCCTCCGCGGACCCCGACCCCGTGGCCCGGCCGGCGCCACCCCAGATCTCATTTCCTGCTCCCGCCCACCCGCGCCCCCATCCCCCGGCACACCGAGCCCGCCCCGGCCCCTCCTCGGCGCAGGGCCTCGGTGACGTGTCCTGGGCGGGGGTCGCCATCCGCCTCACACTCACCCCTTTGACAGCCCGAGAGGCAGGACCTCTTACTGCCGCCCTCGTTCCAGCACCGGGAAGCTGAACTCCTGGGAAGGGTCGCATCTGCCCGGAGTCGCAGGAGAGGGGCCGAGAGCCCTTTCTGGGCGGGAAGCCCCTTTTCTGGACCATGCTCTGCTGCCCCCCCAGGGCGTTTCCTCTGAAGCTGCCCTTCCGCAGCACTGGCGGATTCCTGCACAGCACTTATCACAGCCAGAAATTGTCTGTTAATAACTGCTTCCAGGATGAGTGTGGGGCGAATGCACGAAGGGATATGCTGGATGCTGGGGGTGGGGTGAGGCAGCTTGTCTCTTGTGTTCGCCCAGTAGACAGTTTACTCTTCATACACCAGCACGCCCAGCTGGTGGGTGCTCTGAGCTTAGGTGCTCGGTGAATTAACTTTTGCATTCCGCTTTAGCAAGGGAAAGCAGTTCACACAGAATGGAATAATTCTTCACGCATTCTGCGCGTGTAAAGATGACAGTACTGTGAACCAGCCGGTGGTGAAACAATAGTGGATGTTTCTAAAACGCTCAAGCAGTGAAACATTTTAGGCTAACAGAACTAATTATGGCTTTTTTTTCCTTTAAAAACACAGGTCCTAATTAACGCTGAGGTTTTACCATTTTGTTTAGTCTTACACAGATAGAGCCCCGGTTCTCACAAGAGCTGGCAGCCTCAGATTGAGGGTTGTAAGGCATCCATTGCATGTAATGAAGTAACTTCTCCCCTTTGCTTCTAGAATGGTGAGAGTAGAGAAAATGCTCACTCAAGCTGCTACCAGTGTTCTGTGGTTCAGATGAGGAACCCCCCTATCGAGGAAGGCAATGAATTCATCTTTTGTATTATCTAAGAAAGGTCCCTAAAACCAAGCCAAACCAAACCTGTTGCTGTTGAGTCGATTCTGGCCCATAGCAACCCAAAAGGACAGAGTAGAACTGCCCCAGAGGGTTTCCAAGGAGCTGCTGGTGGATTCGAACTGCCGACCTTTTGGTTAGCAGCCGAGCTCTTAACCACTGTGCCGCCAGGGCTCCAGAAGGTTCCCTGGATGGCACAAATGGTTTGCATTCAACTACTAACTAAAGGTTGGCAGTTTGAACCTGCCCAGTGGCGCCGTGGAAAGAAGGCCTGGCGACCTGCTTCCATAAAGATTATAGCCAAGAAAACCCTATGGAGCACTGTTCTACTCTGTAACACATGGGGTTGCCATGAGTTGGAATCTGCTTGAAGTCAACAGGTTTGTTTTTTTTTTTTTAAATAATTCAAGAAAGTTTTTTTCATAGTGATTTTTTTCCTCCACCCTTTATTACCAGTCACATATTTTGAGCTTCTGTATTAAATTTAGCAGATTACTATTGTGTTATCTCACTGTACAGAGTAACAGTGCCACGTAATAGGAGCTCAGACGTTTGTTAAATGAAGAAATGCCGTAGGGCACTGAACTTGAGAGCTGTAACTATTTTAGCAAAAGATAGCCAAGATTGTGGCAATGGGTAATAACTAGTAAGAAGGATCTGTCAATAGAATATGTGAGCACCTTGTCTCAGCTTGATTAGCAAAAATCAAATAAGACAATTATTTATTGCCCCTGAAGTTGACGATGTATGTTTTAACTCTTACTGAAATAGCGTTGGTAAGAACATGTAAATCTGTTGCAGAGCTTTAGAGCTAGCAGTGACCTCGGGTAGCCTCACAGCATCCTGCTTTAGATGGAGAGACTGAGCAGTCCTGTAGCAAATTAATGGCCGTTTCTGCTTCTGGAGTCGTCTCATGTTGGACAGATCATTTTTAAACCTCTCAAAACCTCCATTTTTCTCTATATAAAACAAGGATAATAGTATCTCTCTTGTCTTCCTCACAGAGGGAGTTGTGAAACATAAAACTGTCTAGTACGTGTGAAGTTCTGGGAGAAGGTGGGAGGGAGAAGGAGCTATGTAATTATAAGGGCTATTAATATTTACTGGGTCTTCTTACGTTTTCAGGAAGTTATAAAAATCAGCCTTCTCCCTAGTATAGAATATGAGGTTGACATTAAATTTGACATACTTAAAGCTTAATAACTATTAACTTTTAAAACCCATCTTAAAGTTGCCAGATGTAAAAGTTTAAACGATCCCTCCTCCCCCTCACCCCAGAAATGTGTCCTTTTCAAGTAATTCCTGGAGTAGCTAAATGTCTATTTACAACCATATTTCTAAATGATTGTTTCTTCCCCCAGGTAAAGTTCAGTATTTAATTTTGTAGTTAAAATGCCTCATTTGCATTGTCCACACTAACAGAATATTTGTGATGCCTCCAAAAAGTTTCCCTTATTAGCTCCTAATGCTTGTTCCTGAGCAGAGCTTACTTACCACTCTCCACTCTTGGAAGGGACCTAAATGTTGGCGTGTCCAGTGCTGTTTGTCAAGGACAGATTTGCTTCTCACCAACGATTCTCTTTTGGAGCATCCAGTTCATTTGGGCGTAGAAAGCTGAAATGACTTGCCTAAGATCTCTTAGACTTGAAACCCAGAAAGATGTTGCTTCCAAGTGACAAAAAGTAAAATGTCCAGCAGACATTTGCGTACCTGGTCTGTCCCAGGTGGTGGGTTAGGTACAGAGACACACAAAGGGATGTGGTTAGTGGAGCTCACTGTGAGTGCTCATAGGGAAGGAAGAGTGGAGAAGGCATCAGGGAGCACATTTTAGTACGTATGCAGATCAAAATGGGATGGCTATTCTAGGAGACTCTTAGTGATCCCATGTGACAGAGTAGAACTGCCCCATAGGGCTTTCCAGGCTATAATCTTTATGGGAGCAGATCACCAAGTTTTTCTCCTGCAGAGCTGCTGGGTGAGTTCAAACTGCCAACCTTTTGGTTAGCAGACAGGCGCTTAACTGTTTGACCACTGGGTCTCCCTTAGGTTAGTAGTCAAGCACAAACTATTTGCACCACCCGGGGACTTGTTTGACTCTCTTGTTGCCCATTGTCTTAGTCATCTGGTGCTGCTATAACAGAAATACCACAAGTGGATGGCTTTAACAAAGAGGAATTTATTCTCTCACAGTCTAGTAGGCTGCAAGTCCAAATTCAGGGCATCAGCTTCAGGGGAAGGCTTTCTCTGTCAGCTCTGGAGGAAGGTCCTTGTCATCAGTCTTCCCCTGGGCTAGGAGCTTCTCCACGCAGGAACCCTGGGTCCAAAGAACATGCTCTGCTCCTGGCACTGCTTTCTTGGGGGTATGAGGTTCCCAGTCTCTGCTTGCTTCCCTTTCCTTTTATCTCTTGGAAGATAAAAGGTGGTGCAGGCCACATTCCAGGGAAACTCCCTTTACGTTGGATCAGGGATGTGACCTTAGTACGGGTGTTAGAATCCAATCCTAATCCTCTTTTACGTAAAATTACAATCACAAAATGGAGGACAACCACACAACACTGGGAATCATAGCCTAACCAACTTGACACATATTTTGGGGGGACACAATTCAATCCATGACACCCGTGGAGTTGATTCTGACTCATTGTGACCCTATCAAAAAAAAAAAAAAAACCCATTGCCTTTAAGTCGATTCTGACTGATAGCAACCTTGCAGGACAGAGTAGAACTGCCCCGTAGGGTTTCCAAGGAGCAGCTGGTGGATTGAAACTGCCAGCCTTTTGGTTAACAGTCAAGCTTTTAACCACTACACCACCAGGGTTTCCCTAGTGACCCTATAGGACAGTAATCTTTTTGGGAGCTGATCGCCAAGTCTTTCTCCTTCGGAGCCACTGGGTAAGTTCCAACTGCCAACCTTTCAGTTAGCAGCTGAGTGCTGCACTGTTGTGCCACCAGGGGTTGCTATGAGTCAAAAATCAATTTGATACTACCTAATAACAGCAACGTTCTAGGAGCTAATGGCCTCGCCTATATTTTGATTATCTTGTTTCCAGAGTTCCTGTATGCATAAGGATATGTTCATTATAGTTAAGGAGAGAGGACCTACAGATTGCAGCTGTGGGAATTGTTGGCATGATAATGAACACAAACATCAGATTATAAATGCAAGCTCACCATAGCTGTATGCTGTTCACTCGTAGACCTAACAGAAATGAGAAGAGTATTTTTTAATTCCTGGGTTCAAGGCTTTCAGTAGCAAATACAAGTTTTTAAAGGGCCGGACAAACTCTGCCCAGATATTTTTTAAGTTACTTCTTTGGAAGCTCAAATAGCTCATGTAGTTGAGAATGTTATGAAGTAAGGATTCGGATTCCAATTTTTAAAAAAGAACATTTTTTTTCCTAAATAGTTCACTGAAAAAAAACCTAAGAATTTATGCTATAGTTATAATTTCATATATATATGTTTATAGTTTAAAATTTCATAATTTATTCCATCCTGCCAAACTTTTATGTTTTTAATATTTTGTTTATTGTCATGCAAACAGTTCCCACAGTTGGAATCTGTAGTTTCTCTATTCTTAACTATAACAGATACATCTGTTAGCATACATAGATGTGTATTTTGTTTTAAGATAGGAAAACCTCTACATTTCCACAGGTTAATTGCTTCTCGTTTTTAGCTTCAGGTCTCCCCTGAGTTTAAGGAGTAGAGAATCTAAGCTGTAGGCAAAGCATCGGAGTTTCCCCTTTGGCATACAGACCTTGGCTGTGCTCGCCCCAGTCCTAAGACAGTGTTGGCTGTTCCTGAAATGCCCGCCCTCTCTGCGCCCCCACACATGCTGCTCCCTTGTCTGAACCCCTT